TAAAAATATCCAATTAACTCAAAGTTAGTCATATATTTAGGCCAAAATGTATTCTGCTACATGTCTTTGGTAAAAAAAAATTGCCAATACGTGTATATTATTTGATTTGTATGAAAGTTATAGCGTCTACAAACTGAGGTATATACTGTATTTTGGAATTTACACCGCTTTTCATTTCTGACTGCCTATCACATTTCTTGAGTTACTAAAATGCCAGGGCAGTACAAAAACACCCAAATGACCCCTTTTTGGAAAGTAGACACCCCAAAGAATTTGCAGAGAGGCATGTTGAGTGCATGGTAGATTTTATTTTTTGCCAAAACATTTTGGAAAACTACAAAAAAATTGTTTTTTTTTTTTTTACACAAAGTTGTCACTTACATGATATATTGCTCTAGTATGCCATGGCTATATGTGGAATAACACCTCAAAACACATTCTGCTACTTCTTCTGAGTATGGGGATACCACATGTGAGAGACTTTTTTGGCAGCCTAGCCACATACAGGCCCCCAAAAAACAATGACCACTTTCAGGCTTTCAAAGGGCATATTTCCTCATGTCACTTCCTCAATACCTATCACAGTTTTGGAGGCTCTAAAATACCAGGATAGTACAAACACCCCCCCAAATGACCCTTTTTTGAAAGTAGACACCCCAAAGAATTTGATAAGAGACATGGTAAGTATTTTTCAGATATAATTTTTGTCACAGGGTTTTGAAAATAAAAGAAAGAAACGAAAAAAAATAAATTTTTGTTTTCTATTTTCATTTTCCAAAAACTTGTGGCAACAAATGAGATCCGCAAAATACTCACCATGCCCCTTAGCAAATATCTTGGAGTGTCTACTTTCCAAAAAGGGGTCATATGGGGAGGGGGGGGTGCTTTTACTATCCTGGTATTTCTACCTGGAAGCTTCTGCCACACATCACCCACACTTCTAACCACTTGAAGATCAAGCCTTTTCTCTTACTTTTTTTTTTACTTGAAAAACCATTCTTTTTGCTAGAAAATTGCTTTGGACCCCCAAACATTATATATTTTTTAAAGCAGAAAATGATGGGTGTTGCAATTTTTTTTGTCACGGTATTTGTGCGACCATTTTTCAAATGCTAATTTTTTGGAAAAATACACCCTTTTGAATCTTAATGCACAAAAACACAACATATTGCCCATTTGCTTTATAATGTATAAAAGATGATGTTACGCTGAGTAAATAGATACCAACATGACATGTTCATGACCATGCAATGGCGACAAACTACATAAATTTTAAATATCGCTAGGTGACGTTTTACAGGTCACCACTTTATATGTAGACAGGGGCTCTAGTGCTAGAATTACTGCCCTTGATCTAACGTTCGTGGTGATACCTCATATGGATGGTGCAATTTCTGTTTGCATACCGACACAGGACCAACACTTGCATTCGCTTTTGCACATGAGCGTGGGAAAGGGGGGCGGTGATTTTTTCTTTTTGTTTTATGCAGTCTGATGATGAACAATTGAAGTAATTTGGACTCCTTGAAACAGGGGGAGTGGTATCCTCCTTGTGTAATCTGCAGCACCGTACATATCAGAGGCATTAGTGAACATCAAATTCTTTTTTACCGTGTTTCCCCAAAAATAAGACATTATAAGTCTTATATTTTTTTTGACTCAAAAAACACACTAGGTCTTATTTTCGGGGTAAGTCTTATTTTTTAAATGTCCAGGTGTGGACAGGGGGTGCAGAGGTGAGCTGCGGGCAGTTGTGGATGAGGGTTATTATGGGGAGGGCCGGTTGATGACAGTTGTGAGCTGCAGTCAGGTGTTGCAGGGGTGACTTGACAGGTGAGTTTCAGACAGGGTGCAGATATGAGCCACAGACGGTGCAGGGGTGAGCTGAAAACGGGGAATGCAGAGGTGAGCTGTGGCCAGGGGGTGCAGAGCTGAGGTGAGCTGTGGATGGGGGGGTGCAGAGCTGAGCTGAGCTGTGGCTGGGGGATGCAGAGCTGAGCTGTGGCTGGGGGGTGCAGAGCTAAGCTGTGGCTGGGGGGGTGCAAAGGTGGGTTGCAACTCAGCTCACCTCTGCACCCCCCCCAGCCGCAGCTCACCTATGCACCCTGTCTGCAACTCACCTAACTAAATTTACCTCTGCAACACATGACTGCAGCTCACCTTTGCACATCCACCTTCCCCCCCACTGCCCTCATATGGCTAGCTAACTTCGCAAAACACAGCTGTCAGCAGCCGGCCCCTCTCTATAGTAACTCCCGTTTCGGGTCCTATCTTCCCACACAGTGCACCAAGTGCACTTACTCACCACTCTGCCTCTTCCTCATTGGCCAGTGATCACCCCTGGGGCATCGGCTTCCATGCATTAGGCTGCAGGAGGAGATGCCCCACCCCTAAACACATTGCATACTGCGCCCGCAGATATCTGTTCCTTCCCTGTCCCACAGTGAGTATAGAGGTGGGGAGGTTCTGTGGGAGCAGATGGTGCTGTCACTTCAGCCGCGCTTCTGTGTTTATAAGAGACAGTAGATATGGGTGTGCGCAAGGCCAGTGGAGGAATGGCGTTATGTCATGTTCCAGCTGAAAAAAAGCCCTGATCACAACTAGGTCTTATTTTCAGGGTAGGTCTTATACTTTAGCAATTCCCAAAAACAGCACTAGGTCATATTTTCAGGGTAGGTCTTATTTTAGGGGAAACAGGGTAATAGCTCTATCATAACCTTCTTCTCTTATTTTTGGCTAGTTTGTATTCATTAATCATTTGTATGTAATCTTTTTCAATTTATTGTGGGTTTGCTGATTTCTAGCACCACACTTTTAAAAAATGGTATGATTCTACAGTCCTTATAAAAGGGACAAATCACAGAATTAAATTAGTTGTTACATGAAATTAGATTAGAAAGTCTTCTACAAACACCTGCCAAAAGCAGCCCTCCTACCCAGCCGAGAGAGCCTTCCACTAACACACACAGCCGAACCAGTCAAGACAGCCTTCCACTAACACACACCCCCTACCCAGCCGAGAGAGCTTTCCACTAACACACACCCCTTACCTGGCCAAGAGAGCCTACCACTAACACACACCCCCTACACGGCCGAGAGACTTCCACTAACACACACCCCCTACCCGGCCAAGAGAGACTTCTACTAACACACCCCCTCGACCCGGCTGAGAGAGCGTTCCATTAACACACACACCCTACCCACTCGAGAGAGCCTTCCACTAACACACACCACCGACCTGGCCAAGAGAGCTTTCCACTAACACACACACATGACCCAGCAGAGAGAGCCTTCCACTAACAAACACACACACTACCCGGCCAAGAGAGCCTTCCACTAACACAAACCCCATTACCGACCAAGAGAGCCTTCAACTAAAACACACTCCCTACCCAACGAAGAGAGCCTTCAACTAACACACACCCCATACCAGGCCGAGATAGCCTTTCACTAACACATCTTACCCAGCCGAGAGAGCCTTCCACTAACACAAACCCCCTACCCGGTTGAGAGAGCCTTCCACTAACACAACGTACCCAGCCGACAGAGCCTTCCACTAACACACACACCCCCTACCTGGCCGAGGGAGCCTTCAGCTAACACACGCCCCCTACCCGGCCGAGAGAGCCTTCCACAAACACAAACCCCCTACCCAACCTAGATACCCTTCCACTAACACACACCCTACCCAGCCAAGAGAGCCTTCCACTAACAAACACCCCCTACCGGGCCGATAGAGCCTTCCACTAACACACACCAACTACCCAGCTGAGAGAGCTTTCCAATAATACACACATACTACTCGGCCAAGAAAGCCTTCACTAACACACATCCCCTACCTGGTCGAGAGAGCCTTCCACTAACACATACATCCTACCTGGCTGAGAGAGCCTTCCACTAACACACACCCCTTACCCGGCCAAAAGACCCTTCCACTAACACACACCTAATACCCAGTCGAAAGAGCCTTCCACTAACACACACCCTACCCAGCCAAGAGAGTTTTCCACTAACACACTCCACCGACCTGGCCAAGAGAGCTTTCCACTAACACACACCCTCTACTCAGCCGAAAGAGCTTTCCACTAACGCACATACCCTACCCAGCAGAGAGAGCCTTCCACTAACATACACACCGTACCCAGCCAAGAGAGCCTTCTATTAACACACATACCATACCCAGCCGAGAGAGCCTTCTACTAACAAACACACCCTAGCCAGCCGAGAGCCTTCAACTAACACATAAACCCTACCCGACCAAGAGAAAGTGCCACGATCACAAAAACTCCATACCTGGCCGAGAGAGACTTCCACTAACACACACACCCAAACAAGCAAGCAGAGAGAGCCTTCCACTAACACACATTCCCTGCCAAGCTGAAAGAGCCTTCCTCTAACACACACCCTACCCAGCCAAGAGAGTTTTCAACGAACACACACCCCTTACCCGGCAGAGAGAGACTTCACCCTCCACCTGGCCGAAAGAGCCATCCAATAACACACACACAATACCAAGCTCAGAGAGCCTTCCACTAACACAACCCCCTACCCAGCCAAGAAAGCCTTCCACTAACACACACTCCCTTCTCGACCTTGAGAGCCTTCCACTAACACACACCGCCTACCCGGCCGGGAGAGCCTTCCACTAACACACACCCCCAACCCGGCCGAAAGAGCCTTCAACTAATACACACACCCTACCCAGTCAAGAGAGCCTTCCACTAACACATACCCCCTACCCAGTCGAGAGAACCCTCCACTAACACTCACACCCTACTCGGCAGAGAGAACTTTCCACTAATACACACCCCCTACCCGGTCGAGAGAGCCTTCAACTAAACACATACGTCCTACCCGGCCGAGAGAACTAGAGATGAACGAAGTATTCAAAAATTCGATTCGACTGATTCGGCGAATTCGTGGAAAAATTTCGATTCGAGTCGAATATATTCGCTGTGAATTTAACTTAAAAAAGGGTGTTTCTAGGCTTCAGAGAGACTTAATATTAGTGCAGAACACTGTACCTTTAATTTAAATGCCCTTGGAGTCTGCTGGGGAAGAGAAATAATACTGTCAGTCAGTATGACATGCAGATGAGTGCCGTCGATCTTAGAATCACCGCACACTTCACTCATTTGGGCAGTCACGGGGCCAAAACCAGAGTGTGGAGCCACAGTGTGGCGGTGGAGGCAGCAGCAATGGGAGGCCATACAGCACCCTATGACAAAAATGGAAACCACCAGCAGTGTGAGGAGACCTGAAAGTGGCACATGGCAGAGTGTGGCGATAGAGACAGCAGCAATGGGAGGCCGTACAGGGACCCATGACACACTCTGGACCTGGCAGCAGCATGAGGAGGCGGTACAGGGGCCCATGACAGATTACGGGCCTGGCAGCAGCATGAGGAGTCGGTACGGGGGCCCATGGCAGATTACGGGCCTGGCAGCAGCAATGGGAGGCCGTACAGGGACCCATGACACACTCTGGACCTGGCAGCAGCATGGGGAGGCGGTACAGGGGCCATGACAGATTACGGGCCTGGCAGCAGCATGAGGAGTCGGTACGGGGGCCCATGACACACTCTGGACCTGGCAGCAGCATGAGGAGGCGGTACAGGGGCGCATGACAGATTACGAGCCTGGCAGCAGCAACTTGGACAGGAGGACGTTCAGCTTCTGCACCGTCGGGTGCGTGCTCGCAAACTGTTGTCTCTTGGAAACGGATTCCAAGAAAGACTGCTGACGGAATCCGTGAAGAGGAGTAAGCAGAGAAGGAGCATCTGAACGAGCGGAATATGCCAACAAGCGACAACAGGGGCCCATGACAGATTACGGGCCTGGCAGCAGCATGAGGAGTCGGTACGGGGGCCCATGGCAGATTAGGGGCCTGGCAGCAGCTATGGGAGGCCCGTAATCTGCCAGCACCCTATGACAAAAAATGGAACCCACCAGCAGTGTGAGGAGACCTGAAAGTGGCACATGGCAGAGTGTGGCGATGGAGACAGCAGCAATGGGAGGCCGTACAGGGACCCATGAGAGACTCTGGACCTGGCAGCAGCATGAGGAGGCGGTATAGGGGCCCATGGCAGATTAGGGGCCTGGCAGCAGCTATGGGAGGCCCGTAATCTGCCAGCACCCTATGACAAAAAATGGAACACACCAGCAGTGTGAGGAGACCTGAAAGTGGCACATGGCAGAGTGTGGCGATGGAGACAGCAGCAATGGGAGGCTGTACAGGGACCCATGAGAGACTCTGGACTTGGCAGCAGCATGAGGAGGCGGTATAGGGGCCCATGGCAGATTAGGGGCCTGGCAGCAGCTATGGGAGGCCCGTAATCTGCCAGCACCCTATGACAAAAAATGGAACACACCAGCAGTGTGAGGAGACCTGAAAGTGGCACATGTTTGGGGCATGATTCATGGCGGATTTAGTCAGTTGTGTCAGGAACTGGTGGTTTGAAATCCAGACTAATCCACGCCTGATTCATTTTCACAAACGTGAGTCTCTCCACACTTTGGGTGGACAGTCGTGTCCTCCGCGGAATTGCAATACCTCCTGCCGCACTAAACACGCGCTCCGATGCCACGCTACTGGCCGGGCATGACAGCCTTTCAAGGGCAAATTCAGCTAGTTGGGGCCAAAGGTCAAGTTTCGTTGCCCAGTAGTCAAGGGAATTGTCTACCTCGGTTGGCAGGGTGCTGTCCAAGTAGGCCTAAGCCTGTTGTTTGAGGTCCTGCTCCAGGTCCACCTGATGCTGCTGCTGCTGCTGCGGCTGGTTAGTAGTTTCCTCACTGCGCTGGTGAAGAAAGCTACTCATCATCGACTGCAGACTGAGGCAGCTGCTGCTGGTGGAGCTGCCACTGCTCCTACCACCCCACCCCTCCCCTGCTGCCATGGCAGCGGAACGCGAGCGCACAGGGCCCACAGTGAGGATGGATGTTGGCGCAGACAGGCAGAGACCAGCTGACTACATAGGTGGTTTTTTATAGTACGTTATTTTGGCCTCCCTCTCAGCAGGTGTGAAAAAGGCCACCAACAAGGTGGACAGCCAAAAGTCATCCCTCTGTCTGATGGTTATTATTCGGCTGTCGCTACGCAAGCAAGCGAGCATGCTATGGGCCATTTGTGCCAAGGAATGCGAGGGACTCCCTGCCTCCATCTCCACAGCATACTGCCACGGTGCGTCTGGGTCCTCTGTCTCCTCTTCCTCCTCCTCTACCAGATGCTCCTGCTCCTCCACTCCTGTCCGCTGAGTGGAAAAACCACCCATTTCACTCAATAATTCCTGAGCACCAATGTCCTCCTCTACCTCCTCCTCTTCTTCCTGTCCTGCCCCCACAGGGGTCATGTGGCGTTGAGATCTGTGCGCCACGTCTACCGCACCCTGACCAGCCATTGTTAACAGCATTTGTTCCAGGACGTGCAACAGAGGAATGACGTCGTTCATCCCATAGTCCTGCCGACTCACAAATAGCGTGGCCTCCTCAAAGGGCCTGAGCAAGCGCAGGTGTCACGCATGAGCTGCCAATGGCTGACATCTAAGTTACACAGGGAGTACCTTTATCCGCTTTTAACATCAGAAAATCTGTGATGGCCTTTTGCTGTTCGTAAAGGCGGTCTAACATATGTAGGGTTGAATTCCACCTTGTTGCAACGTCACAGCATGAGGAGTCGGTACGGGGGCCCATGGCAGATTACGGGCCTGGCAGCAGCAATGGGAGGCACGTAATCTGCCACCAGCAGTGTGAGGAGACCTGAAAGTGGCACATGGCAGAGTGTGGCGATGGAGACAGCACAATGGGAGGCCGTACAGGGACCCATGAGAGACTCTGGACCTGGCACAGCATGAGGAGGCGGTATATAGGGCCTATGGCAGATTAGGGGCCTGGCAGCAGCTATAGGAGGCCCGTAATCTGCCAGCACCCTATGTCAAAAAATTCAAACACACCAGCAGTGTGTGAGAGACCTGAAAGTGGCACATGGCAGAGTGTGGCGATGGAGACAGCAGCAATGGGAGGCCGTACAGGGACCCATGACAGACTCTGGACCTTGGCAGCAGCATGAGGAGGCGGTATATAGGGCCTATGGCAGATTAGGGGCCTGGCAGCAGCTATAGGAGGCCCGTAATCTGCCAGCACCCTATGTCAAAAAATTCAACACACCATGGGGGGCCGTACAGGGGCCCATTTACAGACACTGGACTTGGCAAACAGCAAGAGGAGGCGGTATATAGGGGCCTATGGCAGATTAGGGGCCTGGCAGCAGCTATGGGGGGCCCTTTTAATATTAAAAAATTAAAAAAAGCAGTTGGGATTAAAATAGGGTTTTAAAAA